GAACCCGTTGACCTGTAAGCATTTTTTCCCCTTAGTTCCTATCTTCTCTCAGCCTCACCAGCTGAAGCAGGCCCTTGATCTGGGCTCTGTATTTGCTTTCTTTTAGCCAGCTGCACCCTGAAAGCTGTCCCCTTGGTGTTCAGACCTTCTGAAGGTGGTTGGAGGACCTTGAGGCTGTCTATTTTTACTCCTTTTATGACTCGCACGTGGATAATAACGTGCCTTGTCTGTTTTTTTAAATGAATATTGGGGTTGAACAAGGTTGCTGAAGTTGTGTAGGATTCTTTGGGCTGTTCAGTTTGGTGCCATTCTGTGTTGAGAGTTGAGCTAGAAWTTTTTCTTTTTTAAGCAAAACTTTTTTTTCCCTTGGAGGCAGTTGCTCTGGAGCTGAAATGTAACTGTGGCTCACAGGAAGCATGGTCCATCCAGCTCTGTAAATTCTAGTTTTCCCTCTTGCTGTATTTGTTTTGCTGCCTGGAAGGATTCTCACGCTTTGTGTCTGTGTTTGTTTCTTTTTGATTGCAACTCTTATCATGTTTTTCTTTTTGCATCTTACTTTTGTTTTATTGAGTTTTCAAAGTTTAGCTGCTGATTACTGACAGTGAAAAAGTGTTACGTTATGAAAATGTTTCTACTGGGTGGGACAAAAACAAGCCAAGGTTGAGATACTTTTGTAGAGTTATGCTGTCATATGTTTACCTGTTTGTATGGGTGGTTTGCACGAGCCTGCTTTACCTGTTTGGGAAATGTGACCTTGAATATGGCACCATTACGCTCTTTTTTTTTTTCTGAACACAGTTTTGTAAAATCAGGTAATAAGTTAATTAGGAATTACTTGTTTCGTAGAACAATACTACTGCCTATACAAATATAAACTGCCTCCCAAAAATGTATTTATCAATTAGATGGAAAATTTAGATTTTTATTGCACCTGATATGGCCCTGCTAACTAGGGCTGTGTATTGGCAAGTATTTGGCGATACGATACATATCATAACAGAGGGGTCACGATACGATATATCCCGATATATTGSGATACTGTAAGCAAGGCGATATATTGCGATTTTTTTTGTCCAAAAATTCTATTAAATAAAAACCTATTACTGAAAAAAAAGCTAATGTTTACTTACAATGCTAATGCTACCCTTACTGTCTGGCGCTCACGTGGTAGAGGAGCCAAATGGCCGGCTCACTGCTGCCAATTAGTGGTCAAAGGCTGAACTACAACATAAAAATGAAYGGYTGGCAAGAAGGTTGACATTTTAAACCTTAATTAAAAATCGATACAGGGCTTTAGAATATCGATACAGTATCTGGAAATGAAATATCGCGATATTTCAGTGTATCGATATTTTCTTACACCCCTACTGCTAACGCTCAACAATAATATCATAATCTTGTGTTTTCCTATCAGCACAGCTGTGGGATTTACTGCCGGGTTAATATTAGACCTTGGTGTTTGTGTTCATCAGGGTGGTCTGCAGTCAGGTGTTGGTAAAAAGCTGCGTGGGCCTCGTCAACAGCACCTCATTAATAACACAGCTGATGTGGTTTCAGACGTGGGGAAACTGAATTCCAGCGAGCTGAGTGGCTGTCACACTTCGTTTGCATTGGGCTGAAATGAAGACTGAAGTGGCTCTTTTGCTTTAGTTGGAGCTTCACCAAGCCACCCCCCCGGTGGCTTGGTGGCTTGCTGTTCGGTGGGACCCCCCACCGAACAGCCAGGTCACCATTTCTCTAAAATCAAAGCAAAATAATTAAAACCTCTGAAGTAACCCAATAGTTGACACTGGTTTTAACTGAGGTGAACAGAATGTTAAAGCACTTCTGTGTGGGATTTTGTAAACTTGTTTCATGTCAATGTGGCCATCTCCTCAGGTGTCTTTTAATGTGTTTAAGGAAGAAAAGTGAGCAAAAAAAATCTAGTCATCTGGCCAGCAGCCAGATTGAGTCAATGGAGGCCCTCAGACTCCTAATTCCCTGCAGTCAGCACAGCATCGGTGGGTCGGCCTGCAACTTCTGCTGAATACTAATTAGATTTCCTGCTCAAATCATGTTGGAGAGCCTGGTGGGATAGGACCTGTAAAATTCAATGTGACTGATGGTTTCTCATAAGAACAAACAAGTTAGAAAACAAATGCATTATAGGTCTGCACCTATCAGAAGAACGTGTGATGCGTGATACAGTGCTAAATATGCAAATGCAAATATTTTTTGCATTATAACTATTGCACAGGCTGTTATCCTGATGATGACAAATGTTTCAACACATTCTGCAGCCCTAATACTATATTTTTAAATCAAATGTCAGGGCTTTGTTTTATGGATTTCTGTTATAAAGAAATCAGTTTAGATGGATGTAGCAGCAGGCAGTCATAAAACCCAATCATCAATTAGCAAGAAAGTTTCCAAACCACTTTATTTTCATGTCATTATCGGTACGAGGATCATTTAGTCTCTTTTTAAAAATTGTTTTAGTATAACTGTTTGTAAGATGCAAAGTGAGTCTAATCCATATTTCCGTGCATGAAGAACTTTCTACGTCGATTTCCTCTTGTAAATGCACCTTTTTAAAAAATGAAAATGGCTACACAGATCAATAACTTTGCCATTCTAATAAATGAAACTCTAGAAAAAGAAAACCCCATAACAGAACAACAGAAATGTTGTGCTAAAGCAAATTTGAGCCCAGACAGTCTGGGTCGGACTCCAAATTTGTGAAACTTGCCCCTGGAAACGAGTCTGATCTCAGGATATTTTCTCATTTGTCTTCCTGTCACTAATTCTAAAAGAGTAGAAGTAGAATTATTATTTAGTTTTGCTGGAATTCTTTCATGTTTTTGTTCTCTCCGTACTATAGGTTTAATTTTAAGTATTTCTAAATCTCAGAAGGTTGAGCTGAATCCTGCTAGTGTTGGAACGATTCTTATTCTGTGCAGCTGCAGAGGTGTTTTTGTACAGAGGCAGATTTTAAAGTAAAGCAGGGTGAAGGAAGAAGTTGCGCAATGTCTATTTTTAGTGAAACTGTTCACCAAGAACTGCCTATAATTTCTTCATAAAATTCATTCACTGAACAYGTGCAAAGCAATATTTTCTTTATTTCTCTGTAGTGAATGGAAAAAAGGAGAAATATAAACTTGTATTTCATTTAACCTGAAAATAACTATTTTACTTTTTTTTTTCTCCTGAGACCCAACAGTTTTTTGATTGGTAGTAATTCCAATCATCTGCTTCCCAGATTACGTTTTGTGGTTGGGAACATGAGCTAAGATGCTTCTGCTTTTTGTGCTGCAGCATCACCGCAGAACACAGATTAAGAAGATGACTTGGTTTCACAAGCAAAATATTTTCATATTTTATGGGATTACTTATTATAGTTAATCATTTAGCAAAATGATAGATGGCATAACAACACATTTCTCCAACCTCACATGGGCTGAAAAAAGGCCACAGCAAATTTGCAAGGTTTGCTTTCAAATTGTTTGACTATTAGTTATAAACATGCTGGCATTTGAATGTCAAATGAACAACTAATGTTGCATTAAGTTTAAGTTTGCATATTGCTGCACTCTTGAGAGCAGCATCCTTTTGTGTTCATTTTCCTATTAACAGTCGAACACTTAAACTGTGTTAAAAGCCTAAACTGGTGGAGGTCTGTGACTCATTGATCAGGTCAGTAAGCTATTATTTGTTTTGTGTTTATAGAAATAAGCTAAGGAAATTTGTATTTGGTAGATTATTTATTTGCTGTAACAATGTTTTGTTGTAATAAATCTAATCATTGGAAAGCCTGTTAATTTCTCTTTTAAATGGTACCACATTTGTAAGGAACATGCATTTGTGGGATGAACAGTAGAGCTGGATATGTGGGTTGTGCACATAAAAATTAACCAAATTTTCTCTGACCATATCTGTCCGCCCATCCATCCATCCATCCATCCATCCACCCATCCATCCATCCATCCATCCATCCACCCATCCATCCGTCCACACATCCATCCATCCATCCATCCACCCATCCATCCATCCATCCGTTTTCTTCCACTTATCCGGGATCGGGTCGCGGGGGCAGCAGCCTAAGCAGAGAGACCCAGACTTCACTCTCTCTAGCCACTTGGGCCAGCTCTTCCAGGGGAATCCCAAGGCGCTCCCAGGCCAGTTAAGAAACATAGTCCCTCCAGTGTGTCCTGGGTCTTCCTCTGGGCCTCCTCCCAGAGAGGCGTCCAGGAGGCATCCTAACAAGATGAACCACCTCAACTGGCTCCTCTCGACGTGGAGGAGCAGCAGCTCTACTCTGAGTCCCTCCCGGATGACCGAGCTTCTCACCCTATCTCTAAGGGAGAGCCCAGACACCCCGTGARGGAAACTCATTTTGGATGCTTGTATCCATGATCTTGTTCTTTTGGTCACTATCCAAAGCTCGTGACCATAGATGAGGGTAGAAACGTAGACCGACTGGTAAATCGAGAGCTTTGCCTTTGAAGTATGCTGGGGTCTGACCACTGCCAAACAGCTTATTTTGCTGTTGCTACTGACACTTGTTTTGAGCCCCCCAGCCAGTCAGGTGCCCTGTATAAAATTTATTGCCAAAAGGCATTGTTACAACAAAGAAATAATCTACCAAATACAAATTTCCTTACTTTTTGTGCTAATTTGGTGCTAGGAGTGCTCAAATAAATCAGCTGGCCCCAATTTCCTTAATGTTGGGTGTTTGGCGATCTGCCAAATACATGAGAAGCAGATCTTATCTACCTCCACAAAACTCTGAAAATCAGCCGCTGTCCCATTTTGCTCTGATGTGGGAGAGGGCTGTTGTCCAGTTAAAACAAGTTTGCATTGTTTAATGTTTTTCAATAAAACTGCTATTTTGAGTAGAAAAAATGTGGAAAGCTGTTACAGAAAGAGGCCAGAGAAACTTTTATTTTATTAATAATAAAAATATCTCTAGGTTCAGTGTTCGGATTCTTTAATTGTTCTAATTTTTTTTCCATCTCTTGTAGAACTCGATGAATCTTCCTCCAGACAAGGCACGACTCCTGCGGCAGTATGACAATGAGAAGAAATGGGAGCTGATTTGTGATCAGGTGGGTGTTGACCGCTGCTCAAGTCTTATCAAATCACGACAACCTACAGAGAAAATCCAATTCATCTTATCGACCGTCTGAAGTGTCTTCTTTATATCTGCTCCTGGATGCGGTCTGTCCTGCCGTGTGTTGGGACCACAGCTTCTATATGCTCCATTACCCTGCTTTTACCTCTGTAAGCCTTTCTCCTCATCCTCACACACCTCGTTGACTGTCCTGGTCAAGTGGGTTAAGTGGGCCAGCAGGGCGCCCAGATCAGTTGGCCTGTTGAAAAACTCAAGTCTGTTATCAGCGTCAGTGCTGCGTGCAGGAAATAACAGAGAGTGCAGCGAGCTGTGGTCTAAGAACTCCGCCTGAGTTTTTCTGCCTTCTTGAGCAGTGGAGAAAAACAGCAGAGACCAGATCGAAACCACCTCCCACTCGCAGGCTATTGATACTTAGTGACCCCGAAGAGGCAACTGTGCCAAAAAGAGCATGGGTGATACACTCGCAGACTGAAATTGAAACTAGCTGGTCTGTTTCCAAGTGTTGCATCTCGACTATTTGGGATTTAATTTTTGCTTAATAAGCTGATGTTTACCCCTAAATGAACAGACACCTTTTAAAGTTATTCTTCAAACTTTATTCTTTTCATGATTCCACAACAAGCCCATAGCCACGAGAGAGATATTATCAGTCATAGACGGGGGTGAACTAGAATACAAGTCTACCAGGAGTTTTCCCAGGAACACAGGGAAGCTTTGTCAGTTCAACGTGTTTGTAGTAGTGTGGTGTTTTAAGCTTTATAGACTTTTATGACATTTATAAAGCTTAGAACTCAGAAGTCCAGTTTTTTAACTTTTTATCATGAGGACGACTGAGAATCTTCAACATTATAAATATAAAGTTTGGCAGCCCCGTGGCACAGCTGGTAGAGCTGTTGTTTATCAGCAAAATGGTTGCTGGATAAAATCCTAACCTGGGAACCTTTCTGGGTGGTGTTTACACGTTCTCCCTCTGCATGAATTTTTTCCAGTTTCTCCCATTTCCTCTCACAGACCAAAGACTTTAGCTTCACTGGTACACCCTGTAGATTTCTAACAAATGCTTGCTTTGTAAATGTAATTATTTTTTAAACCAAATCTTGTTCAAGTCTGAGTAACTTAAACTTGACAGTTGAAAGTGTCAGGAAGTCTTGGGCCACTTTTCTCTCCCCAGTCCGCCCCTGGTCATAAATACAGTGAATCTCCTAATGTAGCCCCAGTGATGGAGGTAAGCAGAAAAGAAAAGGCGACAGGTAGAGGCTTTTTGAAAATTACGTATTCTTTTCAGGTTTCTGAAACGTAAAGGATGCTCCTAATGTAAAAACATCAGTAAAATATGTTTGACTCACATTTCTATACAAAAACATACCTAAAAAAATTGACATAAATGTATCAAATCTGTTTGATTAAACGCTATAGATATATTATTGAAAGCATTAATCAGTTCTCAGTTTCAGCCAGCTCTGCTGACACATCGTCTTGAATCTCATTAGGACCCTGTTTACATACCCACCCCACTATAAAGGACAGGTGTGTCATCCTTAGCATAGTTTTTGTCATTCTGTTTTAGTGATCTGTTTGCATTCCTAACACTCTTTGCTTCCAACTATGTCTGCACGGTGATCTGTCAACACATTTGTTTTGCAGAAATGCGTAAATTTGCCGGCGTCTTTCTCCACCCCACTGTAGTCTTTCCTGTTTTTGTGGAAGGTGATGAATGTGACGATTCTCATCATTTTTTTGCGGAGGGTGAATGGTTTGTAAGGGCTGCGAAACAAAAGCCACAGTCTGATGATGACACCAGAGTCCTGTTTGTATAAGAGCATGCTTCTGAACATCTGTGACTCCAGTCAAGAATGTAGGATTGCCTTCAGCAAACTAAGGCTTAAAATGAGAAAAACGCCACATATCTCGGAGGATATCGACACTTTAGCTGCAAGTCATGAAACTTCTGAGTTGTTTTGACTGTTGAGGCTTGAGAAACGTGTTAAACTGTTTCAAATATGAGGTTCAACAGCAGTTTCCTTTTGTAAACTACAAGAATTGAACATTTAAAATAAATTAGATTCATTGCACAGTGATAAGTCATTCGGAAACTGTTGTACAAATGAATTGGCTGATCTTAGCAACAGCTACTGTCCTTTAAAAATATCGAACTTTCAGTAAAAGTAGTTTTGATGTTGGATTTAGTGGCTCGCCATTTAAATGTCACAGGAAACCACAACACTGACATATGTATATATTCATGAGCTGAAGTTCACAAACTTTAGAAAAAAAAACATTTAAACATGTTTCCTGAGAAATGAACTTGGGGAACATTTCCTGTTTCTACTTAGTGTGGACATCAAGGTTGATGGTAATATGGTCAGGTTATATGAGGCAAATAAGCACAGATTTTTCAGTGTAGACCTCAAATACATCATTTTATACACACCTTTTATTGGCAGAGTTCATGCTTCTGCGTTACCTTGTTGCTGTGTGGATGTACAGTCACCCCTGAGCTGATTAGTGTATGTGTGACTTCCTAATGTTCTTATAGTGTTTAAGAGCTCATGCTTTATAAAAAGAGCAAATCAAATCATTGATGAAGACAAATGTTTTTATAGATCAAAATTCCAGACAGGCCCTTAAATGAGACACACCATGCTTTTAAATCCTTCTGTTTCACATTTAAATCATTCAGTTGGGGTCTAGAAAGTGGAATTTCAATGCTTTGGTCTGAATTCCTCCCTATTTTAACACCACAAGCCCCTCTTCCACCCCTTTTCTGAGGCCCTCCTCCAGTTTTCAGACCAGTCCGTTTTAGTGTGATAGAGGGGTTTACGACTATCATAGCAAACATTTTATTTACAAATCAATTAAAAGATGTCCTTACATGTTGAGCCAGAGTCTGACCCAGAGGAGAATGGAGACGACAAAGTTGTACTAGTTAAGTCCAGACCTTATTTGGCAGTTTCGTTGCAAATAATTTGATGTAATAGTTAAGAAAATGCCATAGAAATAGAGAAAACTGGAATGGGTTGAAAATATGACCCAAACAGAATATATGTACATCTACACAGCATCAGGAGTGACTAAATTCTACTTTTCTGCAGCCCTAGAGACTCCAAGTACACAGYAAAGTACGTTTAACGACTAAGAMAGTGGATTTTGCACATGTCYCCTTTTTWAAAATATAAAATTAAGACAAGTCAGAACTTTGATTAGTTTTTTTATTTGAAATGTATGCCACATCCTTATGCTAGCAGAAAAACTGAAGGGACACAGTTCAGATTATTGAAAAATGTATACAAACTATTATTCAGAAATAATCCCTCCTCTCTTCTTGCTGTTCTCAGAGCAGAGCAAGAACTTGCACAGGCAGAGTYAAGTCTTTCTTTTGTTGCAGCAATTATTTCATCTACCTTTTTTAAGAACATCTTTTCATTTTTTTTACGCTCCAGTTGATACACTGACTTTGTGTTTTTACTGATTTAATCCACTCATGATGCCACGCTTAGCTTAATACAAGTACTATTTCCCGCTCAACACACTGATCCAAATCCGGGTACTAATCTCTCCGGTTTATATTTAGAGCACAATAGTGTGACTCGAACCTGTTGCTGGCTGGAGTTGGAACATGTGCGTACACATCCACACAAAGCTGTGATATTAAAGTACAGCTTAAATCACAAGTAAAATCATGGGACCTCCCGACTTTTGTTTTGTTTCTGTGGATTATTATTATTATTTTTTTGCTGTGGTTCATACAATAAATCTCAGTAAAGCTTGTTATTTTGTTCAGGAACTGTTTTCGACTGAAGATAAGAGACAAAACATACAAAATAAAACTTCTGGCCTGAGTAAAACAAGCTCTGATTTTAGAGATTGGTTTTTTTTAGAAGTGGAAGTTAATCTGAAGTTCCCATTAAAAAGGTAGAATTACACAAAAAGCCTAATCAGATTCAACTGGATAGCAAAGGTTTAGTTGTTTTAGTTTGCTGGGAAGTTATTTAGAATGTGACTTTTTTATATTCTTATCTTCTGTCAATCAAACTCACTAAAAACTAGAACTGTGTGAAACTCTCCATCGATTTCTGATTTTACCACAAATGTTCCGGGTGTCATTTTTTGCAAAAATGTATTTTTTTTTGGTTTAATTTCCTTTCCATCTACTCATTTTCCATTTTTCCTTTTTCAACAGGAGCGATTCCAAGTGAAAAACCCACCTCACACGTACCTCCAAAAACTGAGGAGTTATCTGGACCCGGCAGTCACGAGAAAGGTGAGCTCCCCATCGGACCCAGCTGCATTTTTTTTCCCCAGCGGCACGGCTGCTCCGCTGCAAGAGTTTTCCTTCCCCGCTGACCTTCTAGGTCTTGTCCAGGATATCCCATCAACAGCTGAGGAAAGATTGCATGCAGGAGTTCCCTGGGAGATAGCTGTGGAACTCGAGTTACAAAACAGTGAGAAACGAGACCGTTGTTTATCAGAAACGCCCAGGCTGGAGAATCTTTTACCAATCTTTAGTCGTTCCACTCTGTGGCCGAAAGCAGATAACAAAATAAAAAGGCAAATATSGATAACTGAAAAAGACTGATTGGTGGAAAGGGTCAGACTTACTGCCGCATTGGCATTTTCTCGCAGCACAGCAGGAGCCATCATGAAATTATCACGAGCGAATTGAGCTTTTATCATAAAAATGTCTCTATATCATCTCAACAGCCGGCTTTGGCTGTTTTTCTTGGCTCTTGTCGGGAGCAGAGGAGAGCAGGAGGAGGGGCTCCATTAAGACAAGTATTTATTAACTCTCAGGCGCTGCCAAGAAGTATTAGGTCTTTCTGGTCTGGATGTGCGAGCTGTGTAGGGTTTCGAGGGGACGCTGGGAGTCGAGCCTCAGCGATGAACAAATGAACCAGCAGACTTTGCTAGAAGAGGAAGAAATCGCTGAATATTTCAATCTGGGCTGAGTGTGTTTTGAAAAAAAAAAAAAAGTAACCGCAATAAGACAGCTGGAGCAGCTTGAGCAAATTGAAGCTATGATGTGACTATGGTTTAAAAAAAGAAAAAGAAAAACCATGTTTTTTATGATGCAAAGAATGCGCAACGCCTTGCGTGTTGTCTAATCCGAGTTACTGACTGTGGTTCTTTACAGTGGGAAAACTGCTATTTCATAAGAGTTTAAGAATAAAAGATGCCTCATCTTGATTAAAAACATGCAACTACATGCTGCTAAGAAAAACCTGGACAGGAAACATTTAGATTTAACTATCAGTGAATTGTAAAACTGAAACAGAAACTAGATATGCGAATACATGATGCAGATGTTCTGTAACCTTTTCATTGATGATTAAACCAAAAAAGTCCCAGCAAACATGTCCAGAGTGTGGTGGGTGGTGTCAACGAAAAGCTAGATGAATTCCCCCATGKACTGTACCTACAGTACGTCAGGTTGGCACCGATGCCAGAGAGATTACATAGTTAAGAGATCTGATTAAGACAGGAGGATGACTCAGGTGGAAGCAGACATTATAGACAATCACAGGACAATGTAGGTAAATTGTGTTAGCTTGTGCAAGGACAAGTTAGGTGAGCCAAAATTAAGCCTACAGAAGAATCACGTCATCACTACAGCCCCCCTTCACGTTGAAAGATTTCACTAAAAAAAATCAACATGAACATCTTGGTTTGACGATGAATAATTTGAAGCAGACCTCGCTGCATTGGCCTCATGCAGCCCAAGACAAGATACCCATAATTGTACCCTGATAAGGTCTGAAATAGTCATGCCAGGGTAAGTTTACAGAGCATGACAGTTCAAGAAAGCATACTTGGGATACAGAAAATGTGCATAGCAGCATCGTGATTGCCCTCACAATGGTTGTGTCCAAATTCTACGGCTGCGTCCTTCGAAGGCTGAATTTGTTGGATGCTTACRTCGCTGTGCCGTGCTGAAGGCTTTCCAAATTCAAAAACTCCTTCAATCGCAGCCCACAAACGTGTCCTCMTTTTGCCCGGATTTGTGGGGCGACTCTAGTGTGTCTTTTTTGGCCCACCCTGTCCCAAGACGCATTGCCTGGACATTTTTTTATTTATTTTATTTTGTTTGTAATGGCAGACAAAGCAAGAAACAGGAATACAGCTCTAAATAAAAATCTGGTGGTACAAAACTTGAAAGTTTAAAATATTTTTGTTGTGTTAGACTTTCTTTATTTGCGTAAACGTGTTTTAATATTATTGTAAAAATAATTGTAAATGTAAACGACAATGTGTGGCGAGTCCCTTAGTTCATGTATTGCCCTCTAAGCTAATTTTGTTAATTTCTTCTATTGATATTTTGCCAATTTCAATCTTTTCTTCTATCTTCATTGCTTCTGTTTAGCACCGTCACGGTTGGTAGGTGACAGGACATGCACTGTGTTAAGGGTGGGAATAAAGCCAGACCATCCAAATTCACAGCCATTTTCTTCTGGTCTTCGAGGTCGACAAATGATCCAGCCCAGGTAGGCTGGGTAGGCCGGGTCCTTCGAAGGGCGCAGATCTAGAAATTGGACACAGCCCCTGAAGGTTTTTTTTTCTAAATTCACCTCACCCAGGAGATTRTGACGGTGTTAAAAGTCCTTGGTGTATCATTCAGCATCACTGCTGGAGCTCATCCAGATGAGATAATCAGTAATGTGTTTCCAGCAAACCCAATCCTCCTCCTCCCTCTTTTTTTCCAATTAATTGAATTTAATCAAAAATGTTTGTTTGAAACTCCTCTAGATGAGACCAGAGCTTTGTTCGGACCTCCCTTCAGCTATTTTGTGTTTCTAAGTTTTATTGACCTGCGTCTTTACCTAGCCCTGATTGAAAAGTGAATGGGCATCCTAGGGTGGAATGAAATATAGCAAGGAAGGGAAGTAGAGATGCTGAATTATAAAGACTTGGCCGAGAGGGGAGGAAGAGATGGACAGGGAATGACAGAAGAAAAAAAAGCAGAGGGTACAGAGGAAAAGAAAGAGTTATGGGCTTCTTTCTACATTCCTGCTCCATCCCCCTTTTTCTTCAAACTCAAACAATTGCCACTTTGTGCCACTGTGAGAGAACTAGAGGTCATTGCCTCTGCTTTCCATAGGCAGGCTCCCGTGCATTCCTCGGAGCAGCTCCCAGCCAATCAGCAGCCAAGGAGGAAGAGCTCCAGTCTAACTAGTCTCCAAGAATGTATCAGCCGTTGATTTGTTTCCAGGATGACCCCTCCTGTGCTCACACCTCCCCGGAATCTTACTGTTTCCCCACCCCTTCTCAGTGCTGTCTCCCCTTCCCGGGTCTCCTCCTCCTCCTCCTCCTCCTCTCCCCTCATGTCGTCTTCACACTCTCTCCCCTCTCTCTGTGATGCAGCTGGTAGCACTTAAAGTGTGGGGTGATTTTGGCGGGGGCTCCAGGAGCCTGCGCAGTACCCCGAAATATGCTCCGCTTTGCACACATGCACACAAACGACTCCTCCCCAATAAAAACACTCTGTTTCACATCTCCTTATGCTCCAAACACACGCCGCCCAAGCCCAAAGACCTACACCCGAGAGAATACGTTATGGGAACAGCTCTTTTTTTTTTCTCAGTCGATGTTAATAATAGGTTCGAACAGAGCTGTTTCCTCACTGATGCAAACATGATGGAAAATGATCATGAAGACATTTGCGAGCAACTTGAAAGATTTTTTTCACTAACTAGTCATCTTATAGTCACAACTCCATTAGATGCCACCTTAACAGGAATTGTTCTTTAGCTGAATTTATATAAAATAAAGATAACTCGGACAAAAAAAAAGTATTTTTGAACTAACTAACAAGGCAATTCTCAAAGAGTTATTGGCTGAAAATAGATGACATACGGTAGACGGATCAACTGAAAATAAAATCCGTAGCTCTGCATGTGCATCTGAAAGACCTTCATTAATCCTGGAGAACATTTCACTGAGACCAGCTGTAAAAGATACAAACAAGTCGACACCCCCAGGCCCTTGAACAGTGTGGTGAAAAGAAGTTTTGTATTAACAAGACAAGAACTACATTTTAGATCAATCTTTCATCTGTGAACACTGTTCAACATATCAAACGGCAGATATCATAGTCTTTTTCTTCATTTCTGTATTTTGCTCTGTCTCCTCTGTAATAGTTTCCCCCCTCTCATCAGGGACAACCCCACTGCTCCTCGTGTTGCACCGTAAAACTGTTTGATCGCCACTGGTCATTCGCTCGGCTCGTTTTGTTCTTGTGGTTGTATAACAGCATGAACGGCCTCTTGTTTGGGGTTCTACAGATAATTCTGAGTCTGGATGAACGAAAAGAGGAGCCCCTCTCATTTTCTGTCAGTTTCACTTTGTTTTTGTGCCTCGTTCGATAAGTCCCGCCTTCATACAGTTCACGTGGATTTTTTTTTAAAGCTATAACCATAAAAAACATGCCAAAACATTATTTAATAGCAACATGAGTGGCAAAATAAAAAAGGGAAGAAGAAAAGAACTGCTCTTATTTAAGTTTCCAATGAGTCAGCTTGTTGTCTGTAATAGCCTTGTTAATAGCTACCTTTTTACAGGAACATTTAAAAAGCGCAACCTAGCCCAAATTTTTTACTCCTTTTGTTATTTATGCATGAAACAGTCAGATTCCTTCAGGTCTGTCTGGCCTTTTTGTCCAGAACATCTCTCATTTCTGCGCTACCACATGTTGATTTATAGGAGTATGATGAAACTTAACCTCTCCCGCCTTGTTTTCCTTCCTCAGAAATTCAGACGGAGGGTACAGGAGTCCACCCAAGTTCTGAGAGAGCTGGAAATTTCCTTACGGACCAATTACATAGGGTGAGTCAACAGGAGGACTACGTGAAGCTCGTGTAGTGTTGCCTGTCCTGTGCTGGCCTATATTAGATTTAAGGGGAACAAGTCTGAGATTCCAGACACCCAGAGACACAGACGTTGACACTAAACACCACCATCCCCCACTCGTTTCTCGCACTCCATCCTAATATTACACCGACGGCCATGTGGCGATGAAGAAAAAGATGAATCGATGGATTGTTTGGAGCAGCTGACACACGAACAGCCTCCAGAAGGAAAGCACATTTTTCTGGCTGTAGTTTGGCTGCTCAGCCTCTGCGTTTGAGTCTGCAAGTCCCATTGAGTTGTTAATGAGAACGATTTCACAACTGATGAAACACTGGTGCCTTCACCATCASCGTCAGGTATTCAAAGATAACAAGCCTAAACGTGTGGCGGCTGATACTGATTCAGAGTGTATAGTCAGCCTCAAGGAAAGATCAATATCTCAAAAAAATTGTGCAAATTCTCAAACTTGAGATCGTTCATCGCTGTTTCTGTAATTTGTGACAGGCTGGTTGACCCTTACAAATGAGATCTATCTAGAAACTGAGCATAACAAAACTGAAACAAAAAGTTAAGAGGCTGCTTTTCAAACAAATCATTAATCTCTTTATTTTAGAAGTAACAGACTAGTTGGAACTTGTTTTGTCTTTCCGTATGTTGGTATCAACCTCAGCCCACTTTAACCTCATCTAAGGTGCTGTAAAGGGAGGGTATAATACAAAATCAGCTTTACTGAGCTTTATATCATGTTATAATGTCATTCCCTCATAAACAACATATGTGCATGATTGAGAAATCCTTGACTCTCCTGTGGTAGCCGTGCAGAGATGGAAAAACTCTATATGGTACAAAGCACCGCCTATTTACCCAAATCTCCTCCTTGGTCCCGTCCCACAGAGCACCCCTCCCCCATGCCTCCCTCACACAGCTCCACCAGAACATATCTAAAGGCCCTGTCACACAAGACAACTTATGAACATTTTAAAGATGTCTACGTTTAAGATGGAATTGATAAAATCAACTGGAAGCTTCTTTATGGCATGTACATAATGTAATTCTAACAAACTGATCAAATATATAACTTTTATTAGTAATTTAGACATAAAAATGTTTCATAAGTTGGCACAAATTGTCTAGTGTGACAGGGCCTTTAAAGTGTAACTTACCCCCCCTGTGAAAAGATAACTCCGCCCCAAGGCGAAATTTGAAAAATGCATCAAAGTGGGTAGGGGAGGGGGTGTGGGTAGGGGAAGGGGGGTTAGAGAGCGGAGGTGTGGCCATGACAAGAGAACGTGACAGCTAGCATTAGCATAATTGATGCTACAT